GTGGTTCGCTTCCAAAGCAAGAATGCATGTTAGTGCATAAGAAAACATTTTGAATGCTTTTCTTCTTAGTTTCAGATTTTAAACTAAAACGGTGCCCTTCATTCTTCTCTTTTGTTTCTTTCTCTTCTTGTTTTTCCTTTTCTCTTTCCACCCGGCAGCGATCGGGGAGTTTATCTTGGTCCCTCTCCACAGTGAGCCCAGCAAGGCCGTCCAGGAGATCAACAAGCTTTACGACGTCTTTGTGGAAGTCAGCAAGAAATGGAACAACACGGTGCGAAAACTCATCTAATAACAGGCTTATCAGAACAGATGTGACAGAGAACTTTGTTCTGATTTTCACATAATCTGTGTTTGTAAAGGTCTGCTTTAAAATGGAAAATGACTTTATTCACAGAGCCTTTCAAGGAATCCAAGGTCACTTTATACACAAAAGTCAAAAACCACTGACTTTGAAACCATAGCCTGACTCTGCACTCAGGATTTTGAAGCCTCGGTATCAGCACTTTACCATCTGCAGTGTTGTTGGATAATTTATTTGCAGGCAAAAGTGTCCATATTTAGACAGAAGATGTCAGGTTTATCAGCAAGCTTTAACTTGGAAATATAAAAATAAATAGAAGCACTGACTTCATCAAGATGCAGATATTTATAGAGACTAAAAGCATTTATGCATGTCTTTTAAATGTAAACATTTTTACCCCTGGGCTGTAAATGGTGTATTGTCATCACCCCACCGGGCAGGACGAACACGCGAGTTTGTGAATGTGATAACTTGAGAACAAGGCGATGTAGGAGTTTCAGATTGAAACCACAGGTGCATCTGCTTGGAGGCTGAGGGGCAGCACTGGCCTTCACAGCAGGATTTTAAAAACTGGTGAAGTTTTACTGTGGGATTCTTTGGAGGCTGACTCACTCGCTTTGTTGTGTGTGTAGAATGTGATGTTCCTGGGAGATTTCCATGCCAGCTGTGCGTATGTGAAACGAAGTGACAGGAAAAACATACGGCTGTTCATGAAGTCGGAGTTCTCCTGGCTGATCAGAAACCGAGAGGACACCACTGTCACCGACGCGACCAGCTGTGCATACGACAGGTGTGTGCTGACAAAACTGTGGATTAACATATAACAGCTGGTGAATGTAGAGAGTTACCTGCTGGATGTCAGCTACAGTTAATCTTATTGTTATTAATCTAACTTTAAAGGTTCATGTGTGGATGAGGAGTTTTATGTTCTTGCATTTAATTTTGTGTGTGTGTGTGTGTGTGTGTGTGTGTAGGATTGTTGTGCATGGAGAACCCTTCCTGAGGGCAATCAAGCCATTCTCTGCAAAAGTCTTTGATCTCGGAGCGGAGTTCAAAATGTCCAGGAGCGAGGTAACTGATCACATGACGCCACATATATACTGGTCACATTTAATAGGTCTAATAAAACACAATCACAGCCTTCCTGAAGCATTTGGAAGCGTCAGAGTTTGTTACAGTCTTTATAGTTATAGTTCCTGCCCAGCGGGACAAACACTGCTGTCTGTCTTCAGTGTGGGTTATGATCATCTGCTGATTATGCTGACATTTGGCTGCTTGTAGTCTTCTTGACATATTTTTTTTTGGTACGGCATTATGTCTGAAAGCATGAAATTGATATTTAAGAATCCTCTGCAGCGCCCTCTAGTGTGCAGACATAGACAGTTTGTTTACTCATTAACGGTCTGTAAAAGTCTTATCATATCAAACATAGAAAATTTAACTCTGAATCATTTGGATTTGCAATAATTTGGTACACGTCTGAAAAGGAAGTTTGATAAATTAGATCATCTTAGTGGGTTCAATTTATCTACATGTTTATTTTAAAGTTATGAGTAATTTGTGTATTTTAGGACTACTGATGGCACATCAGTAGTTTCTTGAGCTGTAATGAGAGTACGTGCGAAGCCTGAGCCCTCAAACGGATACACTGCATGATAAAGGAGTCTGATGTTTTTCCTGTTTTTAGCTGACAAGAGTGTGCTGTAACACATCTGCTTCAAGGTTTCATGTCATGTGCATTCAGATCATTCTCTGTAAACAGATGTTTGTGTGGGAAAATTCCACTACGTCAGCTTTGAGTACTCTGAGCAGAAAAGCCTATTTAAGAACCGGTGTATTTACCATTCTGAAATATTCAGACCAGTCCGTCTGGCACCAACAACCACAGCAGGTTTCAACGTCACTTAAATCCCCTTCCTTGCTCATCCTGATGCTCTGTTTGAGCTGCTGCCGTGTGACTGATCACATCTGTGTTAACAAGCAGCTCAACACTTTGCTAGGTATACCTAATAAAGTGGCCACTCATTATGTAGAAATTATATTATTTGATCATAAATACTGATCCGTAAGATTAATTGATACATGTGGAATAATGAATGTGTATACTACTTTAATATTGTAAGCACTGATCTGTTGCTGGGTAGCTTTATCTATAATAATACAGCATCTGAAAAATATTTAAATCCAAAATATAGAAAGCTGCACAACATAGTTTTGGATTTCTTCCTCCTTTTTAAAAAAATAAATGTCATTTTTAAGTGATCGGCTTTTATCCTCATTCTCAGGCCGGGTTTGCCAGGACACCTTAAATATCGGTCACCTTTTCCTGTGTGTCCTGTTAAAACAGCCGATGTAAACACTGTTTGATGATGTCTGACTCTGACTTCCATTGCTTCTGTCTGCCAGGTGGTGCAGCTGAGCGACCATTACCCAGTGGAAGTGGTATTAAAGAGCTCCGCCCTCTTCCTTCAGGCCACGCCCCTCCTGAGCCTAATAAGTGCCTCTGTGATCCTCTGGTCCTTCCTCTCTGCCCTGTGATCATCCCAGGCTCTGAATGCTTTCTATACTCGTTTGTCTTTTTTTATTACAAAACCAGTTCACCTTCTAGCTGTGCCAGGATCACTCGGCGCTGTCCGTTCTTTTAACACGGGTTTATTTTATAGTCCCAGCTCTACTGCTCTTAGACCAAAGTGAAGTGACTGAGCAGCGAGGCAGCTCCAGGAACAGAATGTGTAAAATTTTAAAACAAAAATTCAAATATGAGACTTTCAGGGTTTTTGGTGCTGATTTTAAAATATTTTAAATTAAGGTTTTTGCATCAAGACAAAAGTGCATCCAACAGTCTTGTTTGTTATGAGGTGAAAATGTAATCTGATTTTATTTTTCAGGAGTTCTTTGTTTTCTTCTTCCTTCCATCTTTTTCTTGATGTGTCCCCCTCGGGTCTGTACAGAAACTGATGTAAATATTTAGAATTCCTCTGAAAATGTTAAGATTTTCATTGTTTGAGAGTTTTATAAAATTCAGTAAAGTTTTTTTTTTAATAGTAAAATAAAATTTAAAAAACATTCTTAAGATGTTGTTATTTTGGGACGAGCTGCCTGCATTGATACAGGTTCACCTGAAAACACCACAGGGATGGATCGATTACTAAATGAGTTAAAGGGTTTCAAAAAAATCATCGGTCTGTCATTTTTCCTCCCGATGACAGCAGACAGGTGTTGAACGTTCTCTCCTGTTTTTACCTTGAAGCGACTGTTGTTGTGAATTGGAATTAAAACTGAGCAGAACGCGTCTTATCCTGCATTTCTTCATACTGCAGTAAGAAAACACTTCATCCACCACAAAGTTTTTAAGGATGTATTTCAAATTGATTTGCTGATCCTATCACCTTTGATTATTTGTATATCAGTGAAAGAACGTCAGTCTGAAATTCACTTAATCACAAAACTAATCTGTTGATTGGGATTATGGAGACATTTTATTTTTATAACACTCCTTAATCTCCTGAGCATCAATGAGATTAGTGAGTGTCATGGCATAATACCTTTCCAGCACTCTTCACTTTTTCCTGACTGCAGCCTGCATAGATCAGTGCTTTGGGCTCGGGGGATCGATCCAAACACTGATAGTATCAATATCAGTGTTGATATCAGCATTGGATCAATGATAGTGTTAAAATCAAATCACTTTTGTCACATCACCTGTGCAGGTACACTGGTACAGTACATGTGAGTGAAATTGTTGTGTGCGAGCTTCACAAGCAACAGAGGTGTGCAAAAATACAATAACATAAGAACAAGCAAAATATAGGAATGGCTAAATCTGAGAATTATATGAATAAATATATGTACGATATAAGAGTGTATGCACATTACTGAATGTGTATACTTAATATGTATATCTACGTGTGTGTGTGTGTGTGTACATATACATATTTTACAAATTAGAGTTAAAAATAAAATAAAATATATAAAATATACAGAGGCTGGTAGTTGGATATTGATATTATTACAGGATCAATGCTGGACTTTGCTTCTCTGCTGTAAGTTCAATACTTTGCTCTCGGTCATCAGAAAGGAAGCATGTAAACACCGCTCCTCTCATGCTGTCACACTTTGCTCCGCCCCTTCTCAACCACTGAGCCAGCCCTGCTTGATGTTGGCCCACTGAGTCACGTGACTGTGGAACTACTGAACAGCACAGGAGGAATGCGGTGGCGGAGCAAAGTGTTCCTGCAGCAGAGGAGCGGTGTTTGCACAGACCTGTCTCCTCTCTGATACGGGAGCAACTTAGTGGACTTAGGTGATCGATCCCAGCGTTGTTAAGGTTACCGCTGATATTTGAATCGATCCACCCACTGATCATTTCCTTGCGACGACTCTTTGTGAATGAGGGAACAGTAAAAATAAGCATCTGGTGCTTGTGCGTGTCGTCATTCTGCAAGCACAACACACTTCGTGCATCACAAACTTTCATTATTACTGTAAAAAAAATCCCATTGCTCGCGCTTTTTAAAAACTTTTTTGGGGGGTTGTCGTTGTTTTACAATTCAGTTGCATTAATATAGATAGCCTGCTATTTGTGTGCAATATATTCATTTATGTTTTCTTGCTGTTTGTATCTAGTGGCTTCTCAGAATATGCATATATTATCTATGTATACATAGATAATATATGCGTCTGATAGCTTTGAAAGCAGAACAAAGAGATGGTGACAACCTGCTTTTTTTTTACTCCCGTGGTACCTCCTCTTTTGCCGTGCACGGCTTGTCAGTGTCCCCGGAAACAGCAGCAGGCTGAGCCCTCCTCTTCCTGCCTGCTCTCCGCTCACTGCTTTAGGAAACGTGGCCTTATCAGGACTCCAGCAGCACAGCGGTAGATGAATGACAGACTCCCCGCTTCAGCTTCCACTTCTATCCGCCTGTCAGTTAACGCCACAGCCTCAACAGACCCCGAAGCCTCTCTGTGTGTGAAGAACAATGTCTGAGGCTGAACAAATCCCGGCCTCTGCTTCGGAGGCCGCCGCATCGGCCGTCCTGGACGCCCTGAACGCCACGGACTCCAACGGGACCGAGGCGCTCAACGCCACGGCCAAATTCGTGGCCTCCCCGGAGGGCACTGCTCTGGCGTACGGCAGCCTGGTCTTCATGGCGCTCCTGCCCATCTTCTTCGGAGCCCTGCGGTCCGTCACCTGCTCAAAATCCAAGGTAACTGTCAGTGGACCCCGGCGTTTGTGTTAGCCTTCAGCGGCTAGCTGCTACAGCTAACGGCTGGCTAACTAGCGGCTCACCAGGACGCTAAAAATAATATTTTTCCAAAACAAATACAAAAGTAGGGGTCGCGATAGAGTTAATTGAAGAATGATGTGCTGAAATTATCGATAAAGTTGGGAAATACGCGTCCAGACTCCGAGTGAAGGTTTAAAGATCCAGCTGTTTGATTTTACCGGTTATTTCCAGATGCTAATTAGGCTTTTAAAGTCCGTTATCTGCACTTGTTGCACTCATAACGCTGCGTAGTGGGTGTCGGGTCCTCTGGTGTGTGTCTGTTTAAACTGTTTTTTTCTCAACGTTTGCTTGTTTGGCGTGTGATGAAAGGATGTGTGCACAGATGTTTATTTACATTTCTCCTAACGGACTTTTACCTGGCTGAGTAACGGGGACCGCTGCCATCCGGGAGGGGAGTAGTAACTTAAAGTTGTACAGTGAGCCGAAAACAGACTGTGCTGAACGGAGTCGTGACATGAATACGAGGTTAAACCGACTGTCAGAAAACGCCAAGCTAGCCTCGTGGTCGTGAACGCATCACCAGGTGATGGAGAGAGACGTGTACTGTTTCTGTTTGTTCTCGTTTTGGGGTTTTTGCAGACATGCGCAGTTAGCTTAAAGTAGAAAAAACCTCCCACATCCTTTGAACGGCCGGGTGGAGGTGATGGAGGTTTTTATTAGTGACTCTGAGGACGCAACACAGCTGGCAGAAAATCACGTTAATCTGCATAAACGGAAGCTGCTAATAACAGCTGTGAAATGAAACCGGCTGCTGTTTCAGGTATCACCAGCAGAGACACACCCTGCTCTAACGGTGCTCTGCCTTTATGGGCGCACTGTCTGGGGATTCATGTTAAAACTACCTGTCCTGCAGCAAGTGTAGGATCTGGTGAAACGGGGAAAATTCCCCATGCTCTGATGCACAAAGTTCGGATTTAAGAGGGAAAAGTCGGGGCATGAAACAGAGTAATGTCTAGACTGAATTCTCAGAGTGGGTGATATCTGTGTGACGGTCCAAGTGAAGGAGCAATATCAGTTTGACCCAGAACCTGATCTGTAACCGTGAGAAGCGTCGAGAGATCAGACACATTCAGAAACTTTAAGACTAGATTAAACTTTGACAGCATGTAGGCCGGAGCTGTCCGGTGTTTTCCGTGTGCTCTGGGACACACCTGTTTCTGATTTTTCCAGAAAAAAGTTTTGATGACGCTCTTGTGGGGATTCTTTAAAAGAGTACTTAGATGCTGAACAACAGTAAGCAGAGTGCATCAGTGCTCTGCAGTGGCACACCTGTCCAATGTTTTTGGCACTATAGGTATTTAAATTTTCAGATTTACACATGACAATGAGACAGAAGAGAATGACTTTAGATGTTGTTTTCTTCTGTTTGTATACAGAAGGCATAAAAACGGGTTTCTGAGCAGAGAGAAATATTCAGTTCCCCTCAAGATGTTTTAATCGGCTAAAGACAAAACAGAAACTAGATGGATTCTTGTCACGTTAGGGACAAATGTACCTTTCCCCTGATTACAGCACAAGACTAAAACCACTTTTGATGAATTTCGGTTTGACATGAGCTGCTCAGTTATTGTAATGCCAGAAAGCTTCACCTGTCTCTCAGAAATGGCTTCAGACTGAACGCTTCACGCTGCTCTCTGTCATGATTCTCATTTTCTGTCGCTCGTTTCTTTGGTTTTTGACGTTTGCCTTCACTGATGGTTATAGTTAATGTAGACTCTGTTTTATCTCACTGAGTCACAGCGGATCCTGTCACTCGCATGTAAGGCATCCACAAACCGAGGCGGACGTGTCACGCAGGAGGAATTGCGACATTAATTGAAATGAGACGTAAACAGCAGTAACTAGGCTGAAATCATAACCACGGGTGTTCCTTTGGTCTCTTTAATATCAGCGGCTGCTTAACACATTTGCAAAAACAGGAAGCGAATGAAATCTCGCGAGGAAGGAGAGAATGGGCTCGGTGGCCTGAGGCAGGTGTTTCACAAAACAGGATCGTACTCGGTGGGAATGAGATGGATCGAGATCACAATGTTCACAGAATGGAAGTAATTTTACAAAAGGACGCAGTTTCTGTCTTTTCTTACATGAAACTATTACACAGCAAGTATGAGAGTGTCAAGTTTTATTGTCATGTGCAGATAAACCGTGTAGCCACGTTTACCCATAATGACATTCTTTGGCTCCTCAGCTTTACATGAGCAAATAGAAAATGTGCAGTTATATTAAGAAAATAGCAGGAGTGATAATAATGATAAAGAGAGAAAAGTATTAAATGTTTAGAGATAAAATATATGTTTAAGTTAGTAAAATACATTTATCATTACAAAGTTGAAATGATAATTTGACATGAAATTTCAAAACTAAATGTTACATTTTATGTTCAGTTTGGAAATTTAAAGAACAAAGTAACCATTAAAACGTCAGCTGGTTAGATGTTGAAAAC